GGGGGGGAAGATGGATAGAGCGGGGATATTGGGGAATATTTAGGGGTGTGATTTGAATTGAGTGTCTCAGGGAGTATTTTTAGTAACATCTTCCGTGCGGGCGTTGGGCATCGCCGTCCTGCGGTGCTGCTTCTGAAAGGTTTCATTTCTGGCTTTGGCAGAGGGGGGGGGGGCCCAGCTAGAATTTGGGCACCAGCCATGCTAGAGGGCATCTTTCAGGGGGTTAATTATGCAGGCAACTGAAATAAAGGTAGCAGAGCGCTTCCGAGTTTCATTTTGGCTCTGGGTGGGGAAGTTAAAGCGCAAATTGGCAGTACCAGGTGGGTTGTTGTGTGACTTCTCCTTTAAGGGATAGCAGAAAGTCATTAACTTCCGCACCTGTATAGGGACCACCAGCCTCAACCTCCATCCCTCAGAAACAAACTTACTGGCAGATGCTACTTTTTCTTTACACTTATTGATTTCCAACCCCATGAATGTCCCAGTGACCTGCAGGGAAGAATAATTCCTGAAAACTGAATTCGTAAAATTAGGAAAAATCACATTAAAAGCATCAGGGTGAGATATTCAGTAAGAAGATATTACCTATGATGCTTTCAATGTGCTTAATTGGCCCAGTTGATTATATCGGGGCTTATCTATGTGGTTATAGTCAGCCATGCATTTAAATAAGTTGCTGAACTGGAGCCTTAAGGTACACACGTTCGTGTCCTGGGAAGGGGGAGAATGTTCTGAGCACGGTCTGTGGTCAGTGAGATGGTTAATAGTAGTGAAATGTTGCCAACCGCCTGAGCTAGTGGAACTGCGCCGGCAGTTTTTCCGGCTTTCCTGATAGTGCTGCAGAGGAATAGCAGAGGGCAAAGGCTCCAAGGGTTCTTTTGGGGGTTTTGTTGCATAAACCCAAGTTTGTCAAACGCCAAGGCTCTTTGTACCATTATAAATAGTAATAAGGCAAGATTAAGGCCCTTTTGTCTTTGCTTTCTGGAATATATTGTAGGGAAGGGCTTTTTCTTTTTTTTTTCCAGCAGTACCTTCAGTACCATTAGAGTTCAGTTTGCAGGTAACTTCTCTACACTTCAGCCCTTAGAAAAACTAGAATTGTAGCAGTGATTAAAATAGATATAGTCTCTTCAGGAATGTTATCCCTGAGGAGTTATTGATCTTTTCATATATATATATAAAAATATGTTTTTAACCTTTTATCCTTTCTCTTACGTCTGTAGGAGAGCACATGGTTTGATTGGTGGCTGCCTTTCTGCAAGCTTATTTTATTGTTTCCATGCTTGAAATTTATTAGGTATCATTTGCAAAGCTGTATTTCTTTATTTATTAGCTACTCGTTAAGTGCTGACCTTGATCTTACATGTATAAGAACAGCTGAAAAAATCCCCAAACGCTTTCTAACCTGAATGGAAATCACATCACCTGTCCTGGAAACCCAGTGAAGCGTCTCAAAGAGCAAAAAGGATAGGGTTATGTGTGTATGGGACATAAAGTTGTGTCAAAGTGCCAGGTTATGGTCTCTTCTTGTATGTTGGCATCTTGTGTTGATGAAACCAAAGGTGTCCAAAGGCACCTTTGCTCTCAGAGAGGTGGTTCACACCTTGTGGCTGTTGCGGTGTGGTTTTGGCAGGCAGCTCTGCTTGCCTCCAGATTGCTGGTCTGTCTTCCTGGAGCTGTGGGCTTCCTGCCCAGGGGCTCACAGGAGAAGACATTCAAAGTCTGCAGGTTCCCATGGGGCGATACGGTTTGAAGACCTGCGCCCTTCCTCTAGGGATTCTGCTGTGCACATGAAGGGCGCGTGTCAAGAAGGACTTGGAGGAGTAGTAAAGGGCAGAGCAGACTCATCTCTGCTTGAAGTGCCAAACGGGACAGGAGATGGAGGGGGATAATAAGGTAAAACCAAGGCCAGATGCATCTCTGGGTGGTTGTTCTTCTCAAAGATACTGCTGATGCATTTTTCAGAAGGGGGCCAAGGTAGGAACCTAAAGTTCAGAGACCAGAACACACTGTTGTGTTTCTGAGCTGAAAACAGTGACTTTCGCCAAATTCTGTGGGGCTTCACTGTTGGATTCACCTACAATGGACTCATAACCATGCAGAAGAACCTAAAATTACGTCATCTGAGCTCCTTTCAAGCACTGTAAGACCACTGGCCTCACAGGGCTTTGGTTCAAGTCAGTTTGAGCCATCAACACTAGGGTTCAGGGCCTGTCTTGGAGCAAAAACATCCTGTCCCTTGAGGTTTGCAGCTCATGGTAGCTCCTTCGTGATGTCTTTGAAGCCTTGTTGGGGGATGCTACCCTTGTCCTGTCTGCAGAGAAATGCCCACTGGGAAATAGGCAGGATGTAAAAATGAGGCAAACACAGATATAAGGGTGGGTGTGAAGGATTGACATGCAATGGACTCACAGCTCTGCAGGGACATAGACTGACAGGTCTCTTCCTGAGATGTCCTAGTGCTGTGGCACGTGCCGGAGGATGAAGAGTGTCAAGGACTGGCCAGGTCAGCCAACAGGCCTGGAAAGAGCAATAGCAGCGTTTACTGGGTCCAACAGGGAGCCAGCATGGTGAGGTGGGAGAGGCAGCCAGCTTCTCTGGGACACGCTGGAGGATGAGTGTTGCGCTTGCCAGAGACTTTCCAGTGAAATATTAATGCTGTAAATATTCAGTTCATTAAAAATGTCTACAAGACTCTGCCAGTTCTGGTGATGCTTTCCTCAGTGAAGGTTTTCTGTAGCCCAGGCAGAGGTTCCTCTCAAAGTGAGGAACCACTCCAACTCCTCGGAGATATCCAGTAGCCTGTGGATTATTGTCTCTCTAGTAATATGGGAAGCTTGATTTAAAAATCCTTAACCAAGCAGAGTCTTCAAGATGGGGTTTTTTTCAGTACTACGTCTAGTAGCTGGGCTGTTGGAGGGCCTGGCTGGGGTTGTCTTGCAGGAGAGCTGTTCATCCTTGTAGAGCTAATTGAACAGGCATTGAAGCAGGGACCTGAACGTGGATCTCCTGCAGCCTCTCATCCACACTTTCTTGGGCAAGACCCGACTCAGAGCCATGTCTCTGTCGATGAGAAGCTCAACACGGGCTGGCAATGTGCGCTCGCAGGCCAGAAAGCCAACTGTGTCCACACTTTAAAAGAAGCGTGGCCAGCAGGGCAAGGAGGGAGATTATTCCCCTTGCTCCACTCTGGGGAGACCCCACCTGGAGCACTGTGTCCAGCTCTGGAGTCCCCAACATAAAAGGACATGGACCTGTAGGAATGGGTCCAGAGGGGACCATGGAGATGCTGCGAGGGCTGGAGCCCTTCTGCTGTTCAGACTGGAGAAGGCTTCAGGGAGACCTTAGAGCCTCTTCCAGTCCCTAAAGGGGCTCCAGGAACTCTAGATCAGGGAGTGAAGCCGTAGGACATGGGTGAACGGTTTTAAACTCAAAGAGGGGAGACTCTAGATCAGGGACTCCACATCAGGGAGTGGAGCCATAGGACAAGGGGGAACGGTTTTAAACTCAAAGAGGGGAGATTGAGATGAGATACCAGAAAGAAATTCTTTGCTGTGAGAGTGGTGAGAGCCTGGCCCAGGCTGCCCAGAGAAACTGTGGCTGCCCCATCCCTGGAGGGGTTCAAGGCCAGGCTGGATGGGGCTTGGAGCAACCTGGTCTGATGGGAGGTGTCCCTGCCCAGGGCAGGGGGGGTTGGAACTAGATGATCGCTAAGATCCCTTCCAACCCAAACCATTCTGTGATTCTGTGATTCCATGGCCAGGTTTAGACCTTTGGCCCATCTGCAGCTCAGATGGAGTTGGACATTGGTTCCTTGGGTGTCCCATGGCTGTAGCCATCACTGTGTGCCTGCGGCTGGCAGCCATTTTGGGGACTTTGTGTGCTGACCAGGTAACAGAGGTACAGCTCCTGGGGCCCAGAGCCAGCACAAATGTCTCCATTATTTAATGGTTTCCTCTTGTTTCTAACGCCAAATCTTTGTCCCTGGCACCATTCTTGTTGACTTCCAAAGGGTAGGAATTTGGCACTTCATTCACAATTCATTACTGGTTGTTTTTTTTTGTTTTTTTTTTTTCCCTGCTCCTATTTAAAATAGCAGCAGATCAATATATTGAATTTATGTGGCTTATTTGATCCTAAAAGTCTCTGTCCACTTTTAAGTGGAGGTGTGGGCAATGGAAGCCACAACCTGACCTTTCCTGCAAAAGCAAACATAGCAAACAAGTGACACTGCAGTTCATGGATGTCAGATCTCAGCTGTGAATCATGGCTGTTTTGAACAATGCTAATGCATGTTTACGGGAGCAGCCTTTGTTTTGAAGGCATAGATTAAGTGCCCTGCAGTGCAAAATACCTAAACACGCTCATTACTCTCACCTTTGGTGTAGATACTACTATAATCTCTCTTGGAGGATATTATAAGGAGAAATATATAGAGAAATGTAACCTGGCCTGGCAGGATCTTAGGGAAAATCATATGTCTTAATTAACTCAATTCTTTGCATCACACACTCATCTATAATTTAATGATATGACTTCTACTTTCTTAAAAATTCTTTTTCATTCTCAAGCACCCTTTCCACAGATCTATTTAAAAACGCACCTGCCAACCATATGCTTGTGAAAAGGCTCCAGCAGCGTAGACAGGAAATTCCAAATTCTTACCACAAATTAAATGTTGCCTGGTAATTACCAGGGACAAGAAGAGTACGCTTGATGCAGTTATGGGATGATTAGCAAGTTTGGCAATAAATTTTCCTTCCTCAATCTGTCTGTCTTTCCCTTCCACGTTCCAGCCTTCTGTTCCCTGCTAAGTCGTTTTTTCCCTCCCCAAGTTATGATGTTGAACACAACATAGAGTATTAAAGTTTATAGTAAGGTGTGTGGCTGAAGTCCTGCCTGCTCCAAAGGGCAGAGGGACTGAAAAGTCCTCCTGCAGGTACGTCCCGTATCTCGAAACGGAAACATTGAAAGATGATGAGGGGCCTGGAGCATCTCCCTTACGAGGAGAGGCTGAGGGACTTGGGTCTTTTTAGTCTAGAGAAGGCTGAGGGGGGATCTGTTCAATACTTATAAATGCTTAGAGGGTGGGTGTCAAGAGGATGGGGCCGGTCTCTTTTCAGTGGTGCCCAGGGACAGGACAAGAGGAAATGGGCACAAACTTGAATATAAGAAGTTCCACCTAAACATGAGGAGGAACTTCTTTCCTGTGAGGGTGGCAGAGCCCTGGAACAGGCTGCCCAGGGAGGTGGTGGAGTCTCCTTCTCTGGAGACATTCCAACCCACCTGGACACGTTCCTGTGCAACCTGCTCTGGGTGGACCTGCTTTGGCAGGGGGTTGGACTAGATGATCTCCAGAGGTCTCTTCCAACCCTGTGTGATTCTGTGAAACCACTTAGAGTGTCTCCCTCCTATTTTGAAAATAAGAAAAGGCTATCTGGGCAATCAGAAAAAAGTAATACTAAGATCTGAATGATATCCCCTCTTTTCAAGACATTTAAAAGCTGTTGTTGGACCTGCCACGTCCCCAGGTTGAATGTCCTCTCTGTTTCCTTGCAGGCGTCTTTCCCAGGGAACCTGCACTTAGTGATGGTCCTTCGTCCCACGGGGTTTTTCCAGCGCACCTTCACTGACATTGGATTTCGGTTCAGCCAGGAGGATTTTCTACTCAAGTTACCGGTACGAGCGAGCAGAGGTGTTGTGTCTGGGTGGGATCAGTGGCTTCCCACACACCACAGGTCGAGAAGGTGACACTGTCCTGCTCTGCAGGCACCCACGTGAAGAGTAACCAGAGCGTCTCTGCCAAAAATGCCCTCTTTCCCCCAAATCCCTGTCCTCCAAACATCTCCAGTGGCATTTTTAAGCTCCTTTGCATGCAGTTTGCTCCCGACAGAGCATGTCCATGGTAGTGGGTGGTGGGATTCTCAGCCTGTTCTCATCCCCCCTGTAGGCTGCGTGCCTCTGGGGAGGATAAAACCATACCTGGAAATTTTTTTAATGGCTGAAAAGCCAAAAGGCATGCCTAGTGGAGCTTTTGCTATGAATTCCACCCAAAATTGCCACTTTCATCTCACTGTAAACTCCATACCAGCATCATGTTGGTATTTGTTTCTAAAATAGTGACTGAAATGGTTTTATATTCTCAAGTCAAAGTTTCCAAGACTTCTAAAGCCAACTCGATTATAGGACGTGATGAGAATAATTAAGAGAAGGAAAGTACATGTATGGAATCTAAGGTTGATGTAATTACAAACCCACAAAACAAACCAATGTTTTCCTTTAGGAAATAACATGATTTTCAGAAACTTTCCATTCTTCACTCTAAAATGGTTTTCATTTGCACTGTTTTGAAAATTCATGGCTTATCCCTGGGCAGATCAAGACACGCAAAAACTCATGAGTATATATTTCACAAAAATTCCAGATTTTTTTTAACTGGCCAGTGCTTCATGATACATTAAAATTTATATATTTTCCCAGATTGCTCTGGGAAAAACCTGCAACAAACTGCATTACCTTTGCTTTCAGCTCTGTTTTGCAGTCAGATACTGCAGCATCTCACTGTGCTTTGCATTGAAGGAAGAAAGCACCTGGGAGACCAGGGTTGGCTTACAAAAATGGTCAAATACATCAAATGAAAGCCATGTTGTGCCATAAACATAAGAAGAAAGCCGTGCCATAGAACAATATTTAGAGCAAACCCAGTTTTTTAGATACGTCAAATATTTGTAGGCTTGATCTGTGTGTGACTTGAGTGATGAACACCCAGCTCCTGGTGTTGCCTTGGCTGTAGGTCGTTATGCTGAGCTCCGTTAGCGACCTGCTGATGTACATCGATGAGCAGCAATTAACCCCGGAGTTTGGAGGCACCCTGGAGTACTGCCACAGCGAGTGGGTCATCTTCAGGACTGTACGTACCGGGCACCTTGGGTGTTGGGGGTCAGTTGGGGGTGGTTTTCTGTAAGGCAGTTGGCAATGGGGAGCTGAAAGTAACCCCTGGAGCACCCCACCCAAGCATTTTCTTCTGCATTTCCTTCTTCAGATTTGCAAAGGAGTCAAGTGGTGTTAGGCACTTGATGGGTTTATAAGGGAATTGGATGATTAACTCCCTCAGGCTCCATTTGAAACTGTTCTTGAAAGATCTGTCTTCTTAAGTCTTTATTAAAATTTCCCTTATGGTAGATACAGAATTGGCTTGCTTTTTTTTTCTTTTTTTTTTTTTTAAATAATGCTTGCTCCATGTGATTAAGATCACAAATGTATCTAGGAAGCAGGGCGATGAGACTGCTCTCTGCCTACTGACCGAACGCAGAGAATTCAGAAGATTTCCTTTTATTTAATTTTTTTCTTTCATTGCAAGAATTTTCCTTCAATATTGCCAGGGATCAGGCATTTAATCCCCTGAGCTGTGCCTTGCTGCGTGTTTCTGTGCTTCCTGCATGCTCTTAGTTTTCACTGGGACTTTGTCTCCCAGGTTAATAGCGGATTGGATTCCCAGTTACCTTCCCAACAAATCAAAGCACTAATGAATAATGTACCAGACATCTTCGTGCCTCTTGTCCTGCAACATCATCCACACCAGCAGATGTGGAGCTCAGTATACAGACAAAAGCACAGGGCGTTGTAGCTGGAATAACTCAAGCCATTGCTTGTGCCGTTAACTTTGTGCCAGTTTATGCTGATGCACTGCCAAATTAATGAATTTTTCTTAGATTTTTGGCTCTTGGTTTTGTTCTTTTGCATGATGTGTTAAAGTGATAATGGCATAGCTCTCACACTTGGAGACAAGAACGACAAAATGATTGACAAAAAATGTTAATCTAAGAAAAAGATGGTTTCTAGACCGTAGCCGTGTATGGTAAATGGCTGTCTGTATGAAAAACATCTCTCAAAGTTCTCTTGTAGTGTGCTCATAAAACATTTCCTGAAATTTCCATGGAAAATACGCACCATTTAGAGAAAATATAAATGTGATCAGTGATGTTTGAATTTACTACCCCATTTTGAGAAGCAGAGAAAAGCCCCAGAGCTGTGAGTGGGGCCGGGAGAGCCCCACTTTGCCCCGTGCAGTGGGATCCATCTGGAGTCCAGAGCTCCCAGTGACTGCCTGGGATGTACTGGGGGGGGTACCAGCAGCACTCAATTCCATCCCACTGTCTCCAGTTTGTCTCTGGCACTCTGCTTAGCTCCCTCCATTGTCTTCTGGGTGAAGCTGTGGATGAGGTAGCCAGGATGCCAGACTGCCTAGTAACCCACTGTTTGGGCTTGCAAAGCTGGAAACATCCAGCTCCAAGAAGCCAAATACATCTCCAAGGCCTTACTTGGATGCTTGGAGGTGGTTCCCAGTTAACCAGAGGAGAAGGATATTGGAAGAGGAATTACAGGAATATGGGAGATGGATCCTATGGTGGCTTCTGCTATAGAATCATAGAATTGTCTAGGTTGGAAGAGACCCTTGGGGTCATCGAGTGCAACCATCTACCCTACTCTACAAAGTCCTCCCCTACACCATGTCCCTCAGCACTGCATCTAAACGGCCCTTAAACACAGCCAGGGATGGTGACTCCACCCCCTCCCTGGGCAGCCTGTTCCAATGCCCGACCACTCTTTCAGTGAAAAATTCTTTCCTAATGTTCAGTCTAAACCTACCCTGTTGGAGCTTGAAGCCATTCCCTCTCGTTCTGAAGAATATAGAAGAATATGTGGTAGGAATATATACAGAATATATATATAGACCTCCAATACGTGGACATCCCACCCACCTCTCCTGGAGCAAGCTGTTGGGCTGCCCTGCAGGTCTCAGCCTGGGCTCTTCGTGTGCTCTTAATGAGCTGTAGGAATAGCCTGAATCCCAAGCTGATGGCAATTATCCTCTCCCACCAGGCAATAGAGAGTTTTGCACTAACCGTGAAGGAAATTGCACAGATGTTACAATCCTTTGGCACGGAGCTGGCGGAGACCGAGCTACCAGAGGACATGTACTCCATCGAGCGCATCCTGGCCCTGCGCACGGAAAAATACTTCCAGCTCAAGGTATGTCTCAGCTGCCTGTTTCCAGCCCCAGTTTGCACAGCAAAAATGGGATTTCTGAGGTTTGGCTGCCTCTTTGGTGCCCACTCCTCCTTCCCTCCCATGCGTGTGTACGTGTTGACAGACAAAATAAAACACAGCGTGACTATTTCTGTATGTTAAACTTAGATTTGCCATCCACTCAAGCAAATTACCCTGCTGGCATCCAGCAAAGCGTCTCAGCTGCCGCCTCCTTGCTGGCTGGAGGAGGTGGTGTCTATGGTGTGCTCCCCCCGGGGGCTTTCTAGGTCTCACTGGCAGAAGGGTGGGAGGTTTTGTCACCTTTGGGTTCCTGTCCTTGAGGGGTTTCCCTCTGCTTCACCCCCAGGGCTGGAGGAAGCTGGACCCAAAGATGGTTGGTGGGTCTGGGGGGTCTGGAGGGTGTCCCCAGGTCCCTCCACCTGATGCAGTGTCCCCGAGTGGGCGGAGGGGAATGATGCTGGAGAGCATCCAAGGTGAAGGTTTCGTGTGAGCACAGGGTACAAAGTGTTCCTGATGTGACCCCTGTCTTCGTGTGAGCCTTCGTGCTTCATCTGAAACACTTGTGTCTTTAATATTTTAAGGTTTGGGGTTTTTTTTTCCCAACAATTAGTGGTTGCCTTGACAATTATTAAAGGAGTTAGGGGAGGCTGTAGCGCAGCCTTCTGCTGCTAGGTCAGGCTGTTGGCTTTGCTTCTCCTACACCTTTCTGGGGACAGCACAGGTCTGTCCCCAAACCCCTACTTCAGAGAGGATTCCCATGTTAATAGCCGTGCCGTGCGGCTGAAGAATGAGGTCTTTTGCTTTATGACAGGATTCGTTTGCATAAGTCAAAGAAGTGTATCTATTTTCATTTATAATCATTTGTCATCCGCCTGTCAGTGGGTTCCCAGGAGGCTGCCTGTAAGAAATACGCACAATGAAGTGTGCTGCGTGTGGGCATAAATGTATGTGTGGAAAGTTTCATTATAGATACTGCCAACAGTCCCTTCTTTCTTTTTTGGAAATGAAGAGAGCCGTAGTATAGAACAGCAGCTACATCTCTTGCCATATGACTTACTGACCTAAACTTCACATATAGGACTAGAGCCAAAGTGTAGGGGGCAAATATCAGCTCAGCGGTGTGGTCCTGTATATAAACCACACACTTTCCCCTGCAGAGAAATAAAACATGTTGTGTATTTTGCATATAAAGCACAGCAGCTCTCAGTACAAGGCATCTGTTGCTTTCAATGCCCCGTCTATTAATTTCACATATCAAAAGCACTCTTTGGCTTTTGACTGAAATGAAGTCCGTTGACTTTTTTTTTCTTTTCTTTTGTTCCTTCTAAGCCCATGAAAGATGAAAGCTGATGGGAAGCTGTGCCCAGATTGTGGTGACAGCAAGACATGGGATCCTTGTCTCTCTCATGACAACCCCGAGATCGGTACAGCCGATTCCTGAATTCAGATAATGAGTCCATCAGAATAATTTATATAGCTGTGAGACTGAACAGGGGCTGGTGGCAAACGCAATGCAAAACTGACAGAAATTAATTAAACTGAATAACTAAGAAATTAACCTCTTTGATATACTGAATGGGGAAAAAAAGTCAAGTTAACACCTGTTTGACAGTCGAGCTACTTTGTCAAACGTATAATGAAAGGCTTTGAATCAAAAGGGGAACGCGGGGCTCCGGGGAGGGAGATGTGAGAGGATGACATAGCAGCCACCTGTGGTCTAAAAGCAGGCTGCATAATTCCTCTTCCCTTTTGAGCCTCCTGGACGTGGTAGTATCAAAAGGAGGTGGGGAGGGGTTTGCCTTGCAGGCATCTTCCGTGGTGTTTTAGTCCTAGGGATGCAAACCAGCAGCAGACACTTGGTATGTGGGAGAGGAGAAGCTCCTCTGACCGTGTCCTTCTGCTCCTGGGCTGCTGCCCTGAAGATGCTGTCACGTTTAGGTTGCTGTGAGCTCTCTGGGTCAGGCAGATGTTTAAGCGGGACTGTGCTCTCCGAATCCTCTCCCTAAAGTGCTTTTGCCATTGTTTCTCTTGCAATAGAAACCTGGCCATCTCCTGGGATGGGCTCTTACTCCTCCAGGAACTGGCTCTCCAATGGAGCTATGCAGAGGTCTTTCCTTCAGGGCTTCTTCCAACTCGGTTCATCAGCCACATCCATTTTCTCCTTCTCACCTCTGCATTTGGTCTCTTTTTTTTCCGGAAAATAATTGACTAAATGCACCTGTTTGCTTTGGGACTGAGTTCAACAGGGGACAAAGCACCTCAGCTGATGCTAATGAGCACACCAAGGAGTCTCAGTCCCAGCATTTTTCCTACAGCCTCCTTTGGTGACCTTGATGGAGAAGCACAGCCTCCAAGCTGCAGAAATACTTGCTTGAATATGTGAATTTTAGATAGGTATCTAATACGAACCCGCCTGCTCACCATGAGAGACCTGTTCTCCTGCCTCTTGAGTTGTTTGGTGGCCTGATGTTTTCACATGGTCCAATTTCCACCCAGTTTCCACCTGGTGACCAGTCTGTTGTTCAGCCTCTTCCACCTCCAAGGGATAACCCAGCATTAAGGGGGCTAAAACTTGGAGTCCTTTGGTCTGATGGTGCTTCATTTCATAGAGGGGAACTAAGGCAGGGGAAACATGAAAGGACTTATCCTTACCTCACCAAAAAGTAGCCTGAATCAGAAATGTTTTGCTTTCTACAGGAAGATATTACAGCAGTCACAAAAGAGGGAAACTTGCTTTTGAGCAGCTTTGAAGAGCCCGATGCCGGGGAATGCAGTCAGGACCAGCACCACGAGAGGCCTGGGGACTGGGAGACCGTGAATCGGTGAGTGCACTATCTTCCTAGTTTGCCTGATTTGTTTTTGAGTGGAAACACTCATGGTTTTTAGGTGTAGATGTGTTGTTTAGGCCAACTACCGAATAGGTCAAGGCAAAGATACCAGAGTTTTGCTCCAGACCCATCAAATTGCTTTGATTCAGATTAGATCTCAGGAAGAAATTTTTGACTATGAGGGTGGTGAGACACTGGAACAGGTTGCCCAGGGAAGTTGTGGCTGCCCCATCCCTGGAGGGGTTCAAGGCCAGGCTGGATGTGGCCTTGAGCAACCTGCTCTAGTGGGAGGTGTCCCTGCCCATGGCAGGGGGGTTGGAACTGGATGATCTTTGAGGTCCCTTCCAACCCAAACCATTCTATGATTCTATCTGCTCTGATTTTTTGCACTGAAGCTGTGGAGCAGCTGCAGGGCTCTCCCATGCCAGGCTCCCAGGCATGGTTCAGGTAAACAGAGGCAACAACAACAGCTTCACACAAGTGCCTTCATCTGCAGTGAAGATTTCACTAAAAATTCCCTCTGAGATCTTCACAAGTCATACATATATATGTCTGTTGAATTCTTCTGAGAGCTTGGGCCCAGAAGGTTTGAATGTTGTGATTTGTAGGGCTTGTCCATCTCTGCTTGTCCTCTATTTGCACATTGTTCCCCTCGTCTCCTTTTTCTGTGCTCAAGGTTACTGGGTCAGCTGCGGGAGATGGAGACGGCTTTTGATGGCTTCTGGGAAAAACATCAGTTAAAAATGGAGCAGTATTTACAGCTGTGGAAGTTTGAGCAAAGTTTTCAAGAGGTATGATCAGATGCGTTTCTGTTGGCAGAAGGAAGAGTTGGAGATGAAAAGGAGGGGAGAGGAGAGAAGTCTTTCTGCTTTTTATTTCGAGAGTGTTTAATTTATGCTGCTGTTCCTTGGCTCTGGCAGCTTGGGGAGACCACTGCGCTTCCTCATCCAGAGCTAATTTAGGTAGCACTGCCCTGCAGCCGCATAGATTTTGCTGATAGAAGCATCTTTGAATTCAGAAATTAGTTCTTGGACATTAGTTTTATTATTGGATTTAGCAGTCTTAGCTAAAGTGTGATTCATTTTGGTCTGAGAATGATTTTCTGCCTGTGCTTTGTATCCTTTTGCAGCAGTCTTCTTCTTTGTGTCTAGGTCAAGAATGCCATTGAATTTTTAATGGGTCAGCAAGCGGAGCTGCCCGACACTGGCGACAGCGTCCCCCAAGTAAAGCAGAGGCTCAAGGACCTGGATCACTTCGATGGTATGGCTCAGGTGAGACAATCTTTAACAGAAAGAGGCACTAATGGGACACGAGAGGTGCATTCTGTATTTGTGGTAGGAGGTATTTGCTGAAATTATCTGGTTCTGGTGTAATTTGTTGTAAGTGGCTGCACAGAAGGATTGATTTCACGTCTCCGCTCTGCGCAGAAGTGCTGTGATCACTCTGAAAGCCAGGAATAGGGTATTTAATTATCGGAGTTAAAATAAATTGCTGAGCCACTGTGAAAATCCAGAACAGATAAATGTCTGAACATAGGGGAGGCGTGGGAGTTAATGAGCTGGAAGAAGAATTATTTATATGTTAAGTGCCTTAGCAGTGCTAATAGGCAGAGACTTGTTACCAGGCACATGGAGAGGCAAAAAAGTTGCTATCTTGATGTGTCTGTGATTTGAACATAACATATGGATGAAGACTAAGAGAAGTAGGGAGAAGAAGAGTGAGGAGAGATGATTCACAGGAGCCCAACTGAGGATGTGACCTCTGCAAAGGGACGTGCTTGGCACGTGGGCCAGAGTCAGTGGAGAAATCCTGAGGGATCTGGACACAACCCCCAGAGGCTTCTTTGAAAAGAAGAGTCCTTGGGGAAAGGTCTGAGGGTTTTTGGCTCTTTGGAAGAAATATTTGTGGAGGGAGGAGGAGCAAAGGGCCAGGCAAACAGGGTGCAACAGGGCAGCGGTCCCAGCAGAAAGCCAGCCCTGGAGAAGAGGTAACCGTTACACTGACCAAGATGTGTGGAGGAGATAACATGCTCTTTGCACCAAGTTTTGCTGCAAAGAGCCTGGTTTATTTTCACCATGAACCTTAACTGCTCGAATCCCCTTTCATGCTTACGAGCACAGTGTGCCTAAACTGGACATAGCTGGGATTTTCTAGAGTGCAGCTCCTGGAGGTGGCTGAGCACAGTGTGCCTGAAATGGACATCAGCTGCGATTTTCTAGAGTGCAGCTCCTGGAGGTGGCAGCAGGTTGTGGCCAGCAGCCATTCACAGCATCGCTAGCTTGGTGAAATGCAGTTTTCTTCTTCATCCTCCTCTTGGAGAGCAAAAGTGGGGTTTTTTCCCAGGTGATGGGTGGCATTTTACCCTGCATAAGCCACCTATTCTGTCTACTCCTGGTGGCAGTCATCTCCATGTGTCCCCAAAACCTGGTAAGACGGGAAAGCGCATTGTTGTTATATGTAGATGTTTTGGCGTTTTCTCAATAAATGTGCTATCCATTCTCTTCCTTTCGCTGAAGGACCTGATAGGGAAGGCTCAGGTGGTGATACTCCACGGCCACCAGCTAGCAGCAAATCACCACTACGCCCTCAACTTGATCTGCCAGCAATGCAACGAGCTGCGGCACCACTCCGATGTCTTGTCCGATGAGATCAAAAGGAAGCAGATGCGACTGCAGAAGACCTTGGATCTTCACACCCGCCTTCAGCAGGTAGAGTCCAGAGACACAGTACCCTGAGAAGTTGGTGGTTAGCTTCTCCGTGGGGTTAGCCTCTCCACTTCTTAGCTGGAAGCATCTGGAGCTTGCAGCTTTGCTTCAGCAGCTCATGGTGGGAAAGTGTTCCCTGGAGGAGGGCTTCGCCCCTCACCTCACTGGTGAAATTGGCAAACAGACATCTGCTGGTGCTGTGAATAGTCAGCAGGAAGAGTTGGGCATCTCCAGAGGGCAACTCAGAACACCAGAGTTCTGCTGCTACTCTTGGTCATGCTTATTTCCATGCATTAATTGACTTTGGAGGTTTTCGTACCCAGTGCAGTAGAGGTAACGCTTTCAGATCAACTCCAGCCCTTTTTTCGTAGCAATTTATTAAGAATGAACGTAGCTGACTGTAAAATAAGGTGACAGATTGGTAGATAGGCGCAGCTGCTGTGTGCTAGCATGGAAGTGGAGTCATGTGGCTCCAATGCTTTTTGATATCTTAATCAGCATCAAATATTCATTTAGGGAAATTCACGCTAATTAGGCCAGAAGGCGCACGACTGTAATAGTGCTTGAGGCCATTAAGAGAAGCAGTGAAGTTTGACCCTGATCCATTTCAGTGTTTTGGGGGACTAAAGAGCTTACTTGTTTAATCCTTGTGCTCTACTGCAATGTTGTGTTAGTCTGTGGGGCTGGAGGATTCGTCTTCAGCCTCTCAGCTGCAGCTGAGACAGTGTCCTCTCCTGGGCTCCTTGCAGTCCTGGTCAGTGCTGGTGGTCTGACCCATGGGTCTGGCACACCGTGCTCCTGCTCTCCACAGCTTTCCTTCCCGTTCATGGCACTGGAGGGTCCTCAGTCGTTCTTGGCTGCAGCATCTTCTCACGCCTTTGCAGACCATAGCATTCGAGTCCTGAACCCAGCCTGGTACCACCTGTGCCTGTTAAATGTAGAATGTTAAACTGCCACTTAAAATTCTTATTTAAAAAAAAAATGTGAATGCAATTACTTTGATCGTTCCTCACAGTGCAGGTCTGCAATGAGCCAGGCTTTTATCTCAAGGAACCCACCTCCCTCATTGTAAACTCTGTAGTGCCCCCTTCAGCTTTCTGTGTTGAATAAATAAAAACCTGCTTATCACTTGGTTCAACTATGCACTAAATAGTGCTTCTCTGTCACTTAAACCCCTGGTTTTACCCAGGTACAGCTGGGAGCCCATCTTGGCTGGGTATGTTGAGGACCATAGTCACCCTCCAGAAAAAAATGGGTTCTTCTACTTTCTAATCAACATGCAATAGCTGCTGAGGTCTTTAGGGAGTACTAATTAGCTCCGTGTTGAAAATACAGAGCTGGGAAATGATCTTCCTCGTGGGAACCTTGGTTTAGTAGGGGTGCTGCTCGTGGTCGCACTCCCCGTGTTTGCCCCCTGCTGTCCCCAGGCTCTGCAGTGCTGTGACGAAGGTGCCTACCTGCTCGCCAACCAGCAGATGGACAAGTGCCAGTCCAAAGAAGGCGCTCAGAAAGCTCTCCAGGACATAGAGAGATTTCTTGAAAGCTCTTCAGCCTACTTAAACTACGATCCCCAAGCCCTCCACTATGATTTTGAGTCAGTCTTGACATCAGAGTTGAAGGTAGGCAACCCCTCCAGTTCCGTAACAAGTGAAAAGCAAGATGGGACTGTGACTTTGTCAGCATTATAGTCCTCTCTTTTGGGTTAAAGTGCAAAAAAAGCAGTTGTTTTTTTGGTCATGGGAGTCTTTTTCACCCTCTACAGTGCCAGATCAGACTGTGACTGTGTCAGCAACAAAACTCTCTTTTGGGTTAAAGCACAAAAAAAGCAGGTTTTTTTTGGTCACAGGAGTCTTTTTCACCCTCTACAGTGCCAGATACAGTCGGTGCAGGTCAAGCTTGAGAACGTCCGGAGCATGTTTGAGAATCGTCAGTCTTGCTTCAAGAAGCTGTTGGATAAGCACGTGCGGCCGGTCCAATTGGTAGCCCCTCGGCCAGAAAATCCACCGAGATCAAAATCACCATTATTCTCTCCTAAACATGGTAAAATATTTTAAGTTTATGGTATTTTCAGATGATAAGTTCGCTTTGAGGCAGGAAGAGCAAGGTCGAGGATGGTTTTGAGAAACCACTTAGACCTTGCTGGCTGATACAGATTTGTTGCATGTTGTTGTAAATGTATATAAGATGATTTATTATCTTTTCAGTTTTTGTGTCCAGCTTCCCATACCTGTGTGGAGAACGGGGCTGGTTGCTTGCTGTTTATTTTCCCTTCCTACTCAGTGAAAAAAGAGAGCTGCAAACAGCGCAAACGTCCAGTTTTGCTTTACGAGCATCATTTATTTTCCCTTCCTACTCAGTGAAAAAGGAGAGTTGCAAGCAGCACGAACATCCAGTTTTGCTTTACGAGCATCCTATCGGGCAGAAAACTGGTGAATTAGTACTACAGGGAAAAAGGGCAAGGTTTATAAATTTATTAGCATACCTATTCTCTGCGACAGTCTCTATAACTGTCTTCAGCTGGAACTGACACAAAGTGAGATTGATGTTTGCAAAGGAGCTTGGAGAAATGAGGAGCTCAAATCTCATGAACAGAAATGAGCAGCTGGATGTTTAAATCCCTTTGATTCCTTGAGAATGTCTTTCCTAATCCCAATTGAGGAATAATTAATGCCCATAAAGGTACAAATTCTGGTTGAACTGAGGTCACTGAATGTTCTGTCTTGATTTTGGTAATGGGATGTAGCACAATGTTAGCTTTAAATGATAATGTTAAAACTTTCATCCTTGGCAGCTCCGTATGTATCAGAATTAAAAAGTATTCTGAAGTAACATCCATGTATTTTAAACCAGGGATGCGCTAAGTTATGCGGGAATATTGAATTCAATGATCTGACTGCATAAAGCAATTAAATATTTGTGTTTTAACACCGAATTCTTAGGATGAATTAATGAATATTGGTTACGGTGAGCTGTAGCAGGTGCCATACAAAGAGTACCAATGGCTCCAGTTCAGGGGGTGACATGTAAATAGCCAAACTAGCGGAGTGAGAGGAATAGGTGCAGACCAGAGCAGTAAATAAATCCCAAATTTCCTTTTCCCAGGCTGGTGGCCCCTTTACTAGACCACACTTTGAACCCCTTTCCTCAATCAGGAAAAAAACCCGAGTCTTTTAACTAGAGTATATCCTGTTTTACCTAATGTAACTTGCCCTGCTTTCTAGAAACAGAAAACTATTAAGGAGGAATTATTGACCTAAAGAGTGGGGGTAAATGGGTGGCCACCTCCGTGGGGTGGTGTGAGACCATCATCAATCGGCTGCACTTATTTCATGCCTTTATGGGATGCACGTTTTCCTAGCAAAGGCGCTCGGCCACCTGCCAAGCCCAGGTATCCTCCATTAACCCCCTTCCTGGAAGGGATGATCAAGTGTGTCGAAGCAAGCGTAGCCAGCCAGCAGGGAAAGACAAAAGGCTCCTCTTTGGATAGATCACGCCAAGAGAGCTTTTTGATAAGGCCTCTGTTTAACACAGAACATCAAAATGCTGCCGGCGTGATGTGAGGTGTCAAAGACACACGCTGGGCTCCGCCGGCAGCGCTTTGAGATGGATGGGTTTTATGGCAGGGATTGAAACCAAACCACCTCCGAGCACATTCCTTTTGTCCTCTTTTTCTTTCTTTCTTTCTTTCATTTCCCCACCCCCTCCACCTCTTTTTCCGTCTGAGGAAAGACGCTTCCTCTTTCATCTTTGCCCTGGATTTGAAGCCTGTCTGATGAATGTGGTTCTAATTTTGAAACTGCTTTTTTTTTTTTGGGGTGGGGGAAGAGTAAACCTACCCTGTCCTGAGCTGTGGAGCATGGGAAGGTGTGTGGAAGCGGTACGGCAGGCTGCGGCTGAGCCCCAGTGCTGGAGTAAAGTCTATCTTGCAGAAAAAGAGGGAGCTGCAGCTGGTGACCACCTCTCACCTAACTTCTTCTCCACGTTCCCTTCCTCCCAGCAGGACCACCGGCAGGTCCTGCTTTCTTTTGGGTCTTCTTGCCCATAATGGGTCATACCCTACACTCCGTCCCCTGCCAGGTCACCTCTGTGTGACAGACCCCGCACAGAGCTCGAGAAATTAATTATTGCCATTAACGTGGGGTGAAAAAACTTTTTTGGGGAAAAAATGTCACATTAACAATTCAGAAATAAGAAAAGTTTGAAAGATGCTGTATAACTTATTGGGGAGGTTGATGTTATCTGAGAGGGCTACAGGAAAGCTGGGGAGGGACTTGGAAAAGACCTTTTTGGTGGAAAATTGTGACATTAACAATTCAGAAATAAGAAATGTTTGAAAGATGCTGTATAACTCGTTTGGGAGGTTGATGTTATCTGAGGGGGCTACAGGAAAGCTGGGAAGGGACTTTTTACGACGGAATGTAGTGGTAGGATGAGGGGTAGTGGCTTCAACTTGGAAGAGGGGAGATTTAGGTGAGATCTCAGGAAGAAATTTTTCAGATGGAACATAGTGGTAGGATGAGGGGTAATGGCTTCAACTTGGAAGAGGGGAGATTTAGGTGAGATCTCAGGAAGAAATTTTTCACTGTGAGGGTGGTGAGAGCCTGGCCCAGGTTGCCCAGAGAAGCTGTGGCTGCCCCATCCCTGGAGGGGTTCAAGGCCAGGCTGGATGGGGCTTGGAGCAACCTGGTCTGGTGGGAGGTGTCCCTGCCCAGGGTAGGGTCTTTAAGGTGCCTTCCAACCCAAACCATTCTCTGATTCTATCTTTTATTTTTAAGTTTCCAATTACCTCTGTAACCCAAAGTATTACAAGTTGTGATTATCTACTGACAATATCAATAAATTCTTCCAAGGTGGAGAAACAGTTTATACCAGCTGAGCATTTGCCCTACGTTCATAAAAGGACTTTAAAACAGTATCCCAGTAGGTGATGTTCCTTTTGGTAGTTTATTTGATTTTATTGTTTTCATTCATCTGCACAGGCTTCACAAACTTTGTTAGCTTTTGATTACAGTATTCACTCAATGAACATCTCGTTTTTTATGATTACTTTTTACTTTATGGCCTTTATGACCATCCGTGTGACTTGTGTCATTTGGTATTCAGTATTGTTGTTTGAGATGGTAAACTTTATTTTGCCAGTTTGCTTGTGGAACTGGCTAACTAATTATTCATTCTTAAAGATATATCCCATTTTTCTTTGTGACTTGTTAGTTTCTGTCTGAACCATCTCCTTCACTGTAGGTATACATTATGTATTTATGTTTTTTTCTACCCAAGGTGTGGATTTTAATTCCAGTTTGAAATTTTCATTTGATCTCTCTCTCCCGGGGAAGAAAACGTCAAGAAAAACTCCGAGTTCTCGCAAGGTAAAAATTATTCATGAAATCCGAATGAGTTTCATACACTGAAAAACTGAAACCCTTCTAAAAATTGATTGTACTTAGACTTTGGATTTGAAGATGCTCTTTTTTTCTTAAAAAGAAAAACAACCCAAACCAAAAAGCCCTTTTATATCCAAATGGTTTAGTTGGATTAGTCCAGCATCTGAGATGTATCTTGCATTGTTTTTCCAAGTCATAGATATCGATCTGCTGTGTGCTACTTCCTGAACTTGTGCTTTGCATAACAGTGATGCCTATTAGCAAAACTCCACATCCACAGATATTTCCCCCATGGAAGCTGGTCTCTGGTCTCTGCACTAATGAATGTTGTTGCCATTTCTCTTCCAGATTGAAGTAATGCACGACTACCAGGAGAAACGGAATTCCTTGCAATATTTCATTTCAGACAGTGACGACAGCTTGGATATACTAAAAGGGTAAGCTTTCACCCTGGTTACCTCACTCAAAATGATGTTTATTTCTGGCCAGTCCTTGTCCCATCCATGTTGTTCCTCCAGCCTGACCCTCTCTTGCGCTTTTGCCTGTTCAATCACCCCTATGTTGGTTGTTTCATGAGATCACACTGTACTTTGGACTGCTTGAACTGTGGTTTTTTTTTCACAGACATAAAAATAATATGCTGCTTTTTTTATTCCTTTATGCCAGTCACGTCATAAATGAGCTTATAGAAACTGAGAGAGTGTACGTAGAGGAACTCTTCACTGTTTTGACGGTGAGTGACTTCTTCTGGCTGCTCGTGACCGTTCCCCAGTGACTTGTACAAAAGAGCTCCTGCCACTCTGTCAAGCAAAGCAAAAATGTGATGGGGCAGGTTTCTACCAGACTGTCATAACCCAAGCTAGTTGTAAATGTTAAGTCTTCTCCCAAGCTTTTCTTTGTTGGAAGCATCTGCAGGAACAGTTGGTGTCAGGATGAGCTTTTCATCTAGAATGAAGGAGAAGCCTTCTGTTTGTACACAGAAGTGCTGGTAATTAGTTTTATCAGTGCCTGGAAAAATGTACAAAAAACTGTTATTTTTAACTGTTCCCTACTTTCTTTTTCCTTTTGGAGACAAAAGCAAGAAGCCTGTGTTTTATCCTTGGGAAGATTCTGTCTCAATACTGTGAAGTGTGTGAACGTGTAACCCACATTTCTTTAGAAATCAGATGATAATTTCTCATGCTGCCATTTTAGATACTACTGCTTTATTCCAATATCACTCTTGCTGATGGCCAAAACAAGCTGGCTGTTAAATGGCTCTCCCCTGCTTTGCATTTCTCTCACCCAGGAGCAAGCAGGATATAAATCTGTTGGACTGCAGGTAGTTACACGTAATTGCCCTGCGCTGATTGGGGTTTTTGTTAAACCACAGTGTACATGATAAAGCAGCTGGCAGGTACACAGATTTATTACTGGGCTTATCAAGTCTAGAGAGAGAAAAATGGACTGATAGCCTTTTTCTGAAAACAGTATTTCCTTTAAAGAGGGAAGCCTGCCCGTTAAATATAAATGACTGTTTTTCCAGATACTTATCTTCTCCTGCATCCTTAATCAACTACAAAATACCTGCTGGGTGTAAGGAATACAGATCCCAACCATAGTGAGCATGAGAGATTGATTGGGAAAGCCAAGGAAGATGGGCTGTACATCCTGAATCCATTTTTGCAACCATGTTTGCCACTCATGTTTAAAAGGACCTCAGCTCTGTGCAACACTTGGTGACTAGTGTGGCCAGCTTGAGCGGTGGCTGGTGGCCTTCATGATGTCTTCTTTGCAGTGACGGTCCCGACCTCTGGCCATGCCTTCTCCCTGCTCTAGGGTTAGGGTGTTTGCCACATCTGGTGAATGTTTTGGTTTTGGGGCAGTGATGTGATGTTACTGAGGTGGCCTTTATGTTATCTCCTAGTTCCACCCAATGATTTGTAGTGCAGCATTGTCCCTTGCAGCTCCTTCCTGCTTGGGAGGCTGGGGTTTCCAGAGGCAAGTGGAGCCACGGAGGACAGAAATCCTGAGGCATCCAGGAGAGTGAGACCCTGGTGCTCAGCAGCTCTTGTACCAGAGCAAAAAGCCTGTTGATCTTGTTATTTGATCTCAAGCCATCTCTGCTTTGTAACAAGCTACCTCGTGCACCATTTCTCATGAGATTGTATGTCACTGCATCCCCTGTGTAACAAATCCCCGTGACAAACACGTTGTCACTCCTGTGTCCCATGGTCGTAGAGCAGATGTGCTCAACCCAGACAAGTTCCTCCTCCCACAGTCAGGCCATAGCAAGGAGAAGGTGGCTACCATTTGCCTTTGGTGAATAGAGAGCATGTCCATGGTAGCCATCCAAGCCATCTCCTGCTGGACCGCAACCCCACGTGCTCAGGGACTGAAAGACAAGGGTTTAGGGACAAAAAAATAAGGCAATAAAAGGGATGTAGCAGTTTGAAACAAAGCAGATTGTATTGCAAGTCTGTTCACGTCCCTTTTTCATCTGCCTTCGAGGAGATGCCAAACCAAGGCCTTACCAACTGAGTGATGGTCCCCTTTTTGCATCCCGTAGGGCTACAGAGCTGAGATGGACAACCCTGCCATGCTCATCCTCATGCCTCCCGTGCTGAGGAACAGGAAGGATGTCCTCTTTGGAAACATGCCCGAGATATACGACTTCCACAACAAGTACGGTGCCCCCTCTGTTCACCTTTTCATCAGACTCATTTCCTTTAAGGATGAAATACCCAAATCCTGCTTTCCTCACTCCTGTGTTTTTGTCTCCTCTCCCTTCTCTTGCAGAATTTTCCTGCACAGTCTGGAAAGCTGCCTGGGAGCGCCCGAGAGAGTGGGATTTTGTTTCCTAGACAGGGTGGGTGACTCACTTTCGCATATGTAGCAGACTCAAAGGCCAGTGTTTTTCCTGATTCGTCGCACTCCGCAACATCTCAGTTATGTCAGTTGGGGAAGATGCTTCTGAGAAGGCAGCACCAACAGCAGGGCAGGGAGCGTGGGTGCCTGGCCAGCAGCAGATGGGGGAAAGCAGCCTTCGTGACTGCACTGCTGTGATTCCCAGCAGTGGTTCTGTTACCCAAACTCTGTGACTTGCAGATATTAAGGCTGGAAGCAGAGAAAAAAGCAAATTTACAGCTTGGGCGTTCAGCTTGTTTGCCTGCCCAGCAGGTTGGGGGTGTGTGAGTGTGTGTGTGTGTGTGACTTCCTTTTTTGGCTTCCCTTACAGCGGCAGGATTTCCAGATGTATGAGAAATACTGCCAGAACAAGCCCCGCTCGGAGTCCCTGTGGAGGCAGTGCTCTGAAAGCACCTTCTTCCAGGTGAGCTGTGTGTGCCCCCACCAAGGCAGGCATCCTCCTGGGATGCTCACTTGTCCCAAACACCCTCCTCAGCACCCGGCTGATTTCACAGCATATACTGTTTACCATTGCATGGAAGCCTCATGAAAATAGCAGTTGGGGTTTCTCGTACACAAGGAGTTAAAGGCAGATCCATTCATTATATTACTTGATGTGTTTTTATAAAATTTCTTCAGTTATAGGCAACATATGACATTTTTACACGAAATCTTTGAAGTCAGCAAACCATACAAGTCATGCTGTTGGAATAACTACGTATAGTTGGTGCGGAACGTACTTAATCAGAATTCTTGGTTCCAGGAATGCCAAAGAAAATTGGAGCACAAACTCGGGCTGGATTCCTATTTGCTGAAGCCAGTGCAGCGCCTGACAAAATACCAGTTACTCCTGAAGGTATTTCGTGTTCTGCCTAGCATACTAGTTGTGCTGTTGGAATAACTACTTATAGTTGGTGCAGAACATACTTAATCAGAATTCTTGGTTCCAGGAATGCCAAAGAAAATTGGAGCACAAACTCGGGCTGGATTCCTATTTGCTGAAGCCAGTGCAGCGCCTGACAAAATACCAGTTACTCCTGAAGGTATTTCGTGTTCTGCTTCGAGAGGACATTGGGAGATAGATCTGTTTTCAAGCTTGTTTTATTTTTCAATTAAAGGTTACCTGTAAATCAGTACCAAGCCTTAGATTACATTCTGCTTGTCTTGGCCTTCTGTAGGGACTTTCAGTGAAGATGAAAATTCACACACCTGAAAAAAAAACAAGCTTTTTTTATGGGGAGAAAGATCGAATCTGTTCAGAGGTGCAAAATGACAAAAACAGTTCTAAGAAATCTGAACCAGAGATGATCATAAGAGTATGATGGATGAGATATGGTATATTGATGCATCTCTTCTTCCCCTCAGGGTTGTTATCGTGCCTGTGATCTTTAATGCATTTATTCTTGTATTTTTCAATTAAAGGTTACCTGTAAATCAGTACCAAGCCTTAGATTACATTCTGCTTGTCTTGGCCTTCTGTAGGGACTTTCAGTGAAGATGAAAATTCACACACCTGAAAAAAAAACAAGCTTTTTTTATGGGGAGAAAGATCGAATCTGTTCAGAGGTGCAAAATGACAAAAACAGTTCTAAGAAATCTGAACCAGAGATGATCATAAGAGTATGATGGATGAGATATGGTATATTGATGCATCTCTTCTTCCCCTCAGGGTTGTTATCGTGCCTGTGATCTTTAATGCATTTATTCTTGTGTCCCCTCACTGAGGCAGGGCAGTGCTATTATTCCCAATTTACAGGGAACTGGGGTGGTGGCTTCTGAACCCCACCTTCCAGTTTCCTGCATGAGGGATGGGTACACAAGAAGCTGTAAGTGGGCAGAGGAGATCTCAAATGAAAGTAATTTTATTTCAGTGGTATAATTCCCAACTCTGTCTTCTGCTTATTGACTTGAAGGCTCTGGATTTTATACAATCCTTAGTATATTGATGCATCTCTCCTTCCCCTCAGGGTTGTTATCATGCCTGTGATCTTTAATGCATTTATTCTTGTGTCCCCTCACTGAAGCAGAGCAGTGCTGTTATTCCCAATTTACAGGGAACTGGGGTGGTGGCTTCTGAACCCCACCTTCCAGTTTCCTGCATGAGGGATGGGTACACAAGAAGCTGTAAGTGGGCAGAGGAGATCTCAAATGAAAGTAATTTTATTTCAGTGGTATAATTCCCAACTCTGTCTTCTGCTTATTGACTTGAAGGCTCTGGATTTTATACAATCCGTTCCTTGTGTCTGCCAGTCTGAAGACAATCATCTACTGCAACCTTATTTGAAGGCATATACAACATATTGGCAGCTGCTGGAAAACACCAGCCTTATTTCCCATTTCTTACCAATTTAAAACACAACACAAAGAGCTCAGATGAGCGTGATGCCACTCTATAACCTGACACTGTCCTTAAGGAAACCCAGAAAAAAATGGGCCATGCTTCAGTGGTCTGTTCCACACCTTGTGCTGACTGTGGTTTAGAGCCAGTCTTATTTTTTTGTGACCTATGAAAACAAGGTTGCTCTTGGGCATTGGAAAATTTAGGTGAGATGGAAAACTCTGTTTTGTTCGACACGTGCTCTCCCATTTCTATTTTCAGGAGCTGCTAAAGTACAGCACGAGCTGTGATGGAGTTCAGGAACTTCAAGAAGCTCTGGTTGCAATGTTGGATTTGCTGAAGTCAGTCAACGACTCTATGCATCAGATTTCAATCACAGGATATGATGTGAGTAGATGGGGGTAACGGGAGACCTTGCACAAGGCCACACGATGCATTGGGAGTGGAGAGTGTCTCAGAATATAAGGGCTAAAAACTCTACTAGAGCAGCTACAAAGTGAATGGGATCAGGAAGCTCTTACAGGTGACAGCCTTCCATCTGATTTCAGGATTTTGGACAATCTCTGCATCCAAAGGACACATCCAAAGTCACGTAGTGCCCATACTTGCCACCTTGTGGTTTTGGAGAGTATTTTTTTCCATCATGCACCTTAGTTGTCTCATGGCTTGCCTTATTAATTCAGCTGGGGTGTCCTCATAGCATTTCTCATTCAACATTCAACCAAATACTCTCCACGGCTGATTTTGATCCTTGCTCATTGAAGTAGTAACCTTTCCTAGGGCTTCAGGGAAGGGTGAGGGGATGGCTTTCGAAGCTGCTGGTCCCAGTCCTGGTCTCCTGGAGAAGTCCATCCTCTGAGACTTCAGTTCAGGCTCAAATCTCGTCTGCTTTTTCCCACCAAAACAGCCAGATCCCTTGACCTGGACTTCCACAGGAGCTGGAGAGCTTTCCTATCTTCCTAGTTCTTCCAGTTACTGACTTGTATCCCTTCACACAGCTGCAACCCTGCATCCGAGACCTCTGCATCCCTCCTGGCACCGTGCCATCACTCCCAAAAGATCATCTGATCCTTCCAGGAAGACCTATTCTGAGAGTGACGTGCCTTGGAACAGAGCTGGCCCTGTCACCCGTCATTGTTTGGACAGGCCTCTTGCATTTTAATTGATGTCTTTTTCTTTCTTTTTTTCTCCTTTGTCGTACTCTCACCAGGGTGACCTGAGCGAACTGGGGAAAGTGTTGATGCAAGGATCTTTCAGTGTTTGGACAGGACACCGAAAAGGTCCAACAAAAATGAAGGATCTTGCCAGGTTCAAGCCAATGCAGAGGCATTTGTTCCTGTATGAGAAAGCCTTGGTCTTCTGCAAGAAGCGAGAGGAGCATGGAGACGGATACGACAAAACCTCATCTTACAGTTTTAAGCATTTTTTGAAAGTAAGGACTTTTTTGGTTGGGGCCATTGCCTTTTATATTGTAAATCAATAACTCTGCAGACCCAGAGATTATTTTTCCTCTAACACAGAGACTTGTTTTCTGCTATTAAGGGCTGTAATGCCCCAGATGGAAGTGCCGTGCCCATGAAAGGGTGTAACAAGCTGTGAGGACCCCCACAGCTGAAGCAGCAGCTGGGGGAGCCCATGGACTCAGAGTCATGTATGTGGTGGCATCTGCCAGGGATATGGTGCTATGGGCAAGTCCCAGGGGTGAGAATGTGCCTTCTCCCCTTCCCTAGTCTGCTTTCTGCAGTGGGGGCGAGGACATGGAACTGGGGAGGCTCTTCATGTCTTCCCCAGCCCAGCTGGGAGACCAAGGGGGCTCCTCACACCCCTGGTCCCCATGGAGGTCCCTTGGGTAGAGGTCTGTCTGATGCCCAGCCTGGCTGCTCTCAACCCATTTCCCAGCTGGGAGGATGCAGAGAGAACTCTTCTTCCTCTCTCATCGCCTTTCTCCTTTGGCAGGCTCTAACTGCAGTAAATGTACAATTATCAGATGAAGAAAGTAGCCTATGGCAAAATAAGAGGGAATAAGAGGGACATAAACATCTGTCCCAAGCCCATAAATACCAACTATTATCAATAAAAATCCCAAACTGCTTCTCTAAAAGAGTCCTCCTGGCAGACTGCGTGTGATGAGCACTTCTAACAGCGGCATTTTGTCTCAGTACTCTGCCTTGTTTGTCTGGATAAATAAAACCCCCAATATGAGTGTATCTTAGAATGGAGAAAAAAAAAAAAAAGGGGGCATTTGGAGGCAGAGCGTTCAAGCACGGAGACTGCAGGTCCCTGATCTCCACAGGGTCTGGGGACAGAGATGCCACGAGTCATCAAAGCCATAGAATAGCAGATAAGTCTGTTCAGCTCCAGTGCACGTTACAAATTGTGTATTAAGAGCAAATCCCAGGCCATATGTTAAATGTTTTTCCCAAACAGCGTCGTTTTCTTCCTGGAGAGCTTGTTTTCCCCATGGTACTTGTTTTGCCATACGTGCTTTTGAAAGAACTGAAGAGGTGGTGTGGGGAAAACCTGACAGGAGGAGACAATCCTGCACTCAGGAGTCCAGGCGATGGGGCCAGGGTTTTTCTTTGCCCCAAGAGGGCTCATTTTCCAGTTGTTTGCATTGCTGCACTTAGAGGTTGGGGTAAGAGAATCCATGGATGCTGCAGGATTACATCTGCACACATCCCTCTTCAGAATTGCTGTCCTGAGGGCAAAATTGTGTTTCTGGAGCTTGACATTTGTTTGATTCATGATAGTACCAGGAAATTATTTTTCTTTGCAAGAATGTTTTGTGGGGATTCAGAATTAAAGCAAGCTGTTGGGTAGAAGCTGTGTAACTGGACATCTGTAGAACAAACAAAAGAAGCCCTCAGGGTAATATTTTACATGTTGTGTAAAATATCCAGTGGTACATGCCTCCTCTTCAGCTGAGGTGCAGTAACGTAGAGGCTGCAGGTTCATAACTCACTGCAGAGCCAAGTAAATCAGTCTGCCTCGTACCGGGAGGAGCTCCATCCCAGAGCTTTCCACGAGCCCACCTCGTCTGCATTGCAGTCAACAGCCCAGGGACAGTAAATCCTGGCCAAGGGGGAGGACACAGAAATGCAAAATCCACTAATACGAACAGGCAGACCTTAAATATGTCTATTGCTGACACTTCTCATAGTAGATCACCTAAAATTTCTAACATCTCGATGCTCGGGCAGTTTTGTAGGAGACTGTATAAATTGCTGTGCTAAACAAGAGCCCAGAGCTGGAAATTGCAGCGACTGGATGAGCTGCTCTCTAGGCTGCCCTTTTAGCATCTTTCATAATTTCTTTTTTTTTTTTAACTTTCAAGTTTTTTAAGTGTTCATGCAGTCAGGAGGGAGCCTGATCCAGTTTTCAAGGGCATCATAAGCTGCTCTCTAGGCTGCCCTTTTAACATTTTTCATAATTTCTTTTTTTTTTTTTTTTTAACTTTCAAGTTTTTTAAGTGTTCATGCAGTCAGGAGGGAGCCTGATCCAGTTTTCAAGGGCATCATAGCACTGGATAGAATTTTCCAAAATGTTCAGGGTGCTGTTGCAGACTTCAACCTGTGTGTTTTTAAATACCAATGGATGGGTGTAAAACAGCAGATGTGGCAGTGGTCACTGGTTTTTGTCACCTTCTTGCAAGCTCAGTGGAGATCTCTCAACTTTTACTGTACTGGACCAGTTGAGAGAGGGGTGTGAGGCAAAGAGAGACTGGGAAAATACCAACCCCTCTTCAGTGAGGAGCATTTCTGCATCTGGAGGCAAACGCTTTCTCCAAAGTTGGGAAGATCTCTGCTGTTTACGCCAGTGAAGAAATGAAGAGAGCTAATTAGCAACTTGCTTCCTATTCCCTGAGGCCATTGGTAGTCACTGAAAATGGGTGTCAACATTTGAATAAGTAACTACGAACAGAAAGTTTGCCCAAGTGACCTAATTTGTAAATTCTCCTAGTCTTTCAGACCAAAAGCTCTGAGGAAGCACATATTAACCAAGAAGGACAGCAGTGTTAGACAGATATTCTTTCTAAGGCCTTATTTGTATTTATACTGATTTATCTAATGTGGTCTGTGTGAATAATTTATGATAGATTATACCATTATTATTAGATCTGTTTCAAAACATGTAAGTGGGATACTTCAGCTATTTCTGACCGTCTGTTAATCAGCAATAAATTCCTAGCAAACTGTGCTTCAAATGAGAAGATGTTTTATGCAATATCAGGTATTCAAGCATTTTTTAGCTCTCTGATGTGTTCAGCAGGTGGGTCGGAGGCCTCTTATTGCTGAAGAGTTTCTTGGTCTCCAAGCGTAGTTGGAGCTCCTCATCCAGTTGGGTCTCTTTGTGCAGATCCTGAGTTATTTGTGCCTTTAGCATTTCCATCCAACTTACCAAAAGTGGGCTGTGATAACGGGTACAGCAGCATCCAGCCACATAGAGCTTATCCTTCCCAAAAGCCAGGTTTGTGGCAGTTCAGGCTGTACATCCAAAAGTTAACCCTTCTTTTGGAAACCTTGGGGTGATTTCTCAACTACAGGGATGGGCAGGGGCCAAAAGATGCTGAACTGACATTCCTGAAGGAGCTGAGGGCTTCACAAATGGGGTTTAAAGTTCGCTGAAAGAATGAAACAGAGCATCCAGCAAGTAAATAAAGACTCATGTGGCAGAAATAACGTATGTAGAAAAAAAACTCGCCGTGCATTTATAAACTTTCATATGCCTTATCTGAGAAATTCCATGCTGAAAGAGGCATGAGATGACTTTTCAGTTAGTTCCACCAATTCCTGAATTAAAAGTCCCCTAAAAGTCCATTGATTGGTTTCAAAAAGCTTTTGCAAATACAGCAAGCTGGTAGTTTCAGTTGCTACTGAAATGAAAATTGACAAAATCTGTTAAACTGGGTGAAAACGGGTTTGTTTAACCTGCTGCAAAAATGTCTGGAATCCTAGGGAAGAGGGAGAGATCTGTGGTGTGTTTAATTTCTTGTGGTTCTTTTGGCTTTGCAGATGAACGCGGTTGGAATAACGGAGAATGTGAAAGGAGATCATCGGAAATTTGAAATCTGGTATAGTGGGCGAGAAGAGGTCTATGTCGTGCAGGTTTGTCACTTCAAAAGTCTGGGTATTTGTACATCCACATTTAACTCGCATTTTCTCTTCCTCTTTGTCCACATCAGCATTCCCAGAGCTGTCCCCCCAAGTGTCCAGTCCAGGACCCTAAAAGTCATCTTAAAGTGGAGACAGAATTGGTGCTTAGAAATAGAGCCTTTTATTCCAGATGAAATCTCCAATAGACCTGTAGTTGAAAAAAAAAAAAGAAGAACAATTTATTGTGCTTAATGGCTTATATGAATTGGCTGGGAACTGGGCCTCATGCTTTAATGGCCACGGGCCACGTGTGAGCCTCTACAAATAGCTGTCAGAACTGCTCCCAGAGCAGAGGCTCAGCCTCCATCGTGCTGTTTCCAGCAGTCTTTCAACTCATCTGCAAAATAGTAACCTGATTGACCTTATTTCTTCATTATTTATATTTTTTTTCCCCTTTTGTAGCATTTTGAATAGAAATTTATGGAGGTGAAATGTTTGCCTAAGGGGGTGTTCACAGGAAAACCCATTGTGCAAATATTGTTTGGGGTTTTTTTAATACTAACATAGAGCTTTTTTTCTCTATGTTACAACACAGTAGTCAACTTAAATTTGTACAGCAGACGTGTATAGCCAAGAATACATATATTCAAAAGTTTTTTTTAATAAGTCCTCTGCTCTAACATAGAGCTTTTTTTCTCTGTGTTACAACACAGTAGCCAACTTAAATTTGTACAGCAGATGTGTATAGCCAAGAATACATATATTCAAAAGGCAGTTTTGGCCCTGTAGGTATTTTGTTAAAGATGCACACGTGCTTTTGCCCACGCTCCTTGCATTGTAGCGATGGCTCCACAATTTCCACTGTATTTTGCCTGGACGTGGTGGGGACCATCAATTTTAAAAGATGAAGAATGTTTAAAATTTAGTGGTGGCTTTGGATAAAAGGGGACTTCAGGTAATTGCAGCACAGAAAAGTAAGGTTTTATTTCATACATTGTAATGGGTAGTTCTTAATTCAAAATTCAGACAGTTTTATCTTCTTCCAGTTTCCACTGTGTTTTGCCTGGACGTGGTGGGGACCATCAATTTTAAAAGATGAAGAATGTTTAAAATTTAGCGGTGGCTTTGGATAAAAGGGGACTTCAGGTAATTGCAGCACAGAAAAGTAAGGTTTTATTTCATACATTGTAATGGGTAGTTCTTAATTCAAAATTCAGACAGTTTTATCTTCTTCCAGGCCCAAACAGTAGATCTGAAGATGGCATGGTTGAATGAAATAAGAAAAATTTTGTTCAAGCAGCAGGAGCTTATTAAAGGTACGTTTGACCAATTTCTCTGTGGCCTTCTCTCTGCAGCAGAGCCTTTCCTATTTTCACATTGCTAAGCTTCAAATCCACTAATTCTCACCAGAGCATTGATTTTCAGGAGAAGCCTGGCAGCAAAATACCGGAGCGAGGCCTTACTTTGCAGGGAGATAACGTAACTTAGAGCAGTAAAGACCAGGTGCTTATGTGAAAAAGAATTACAGGAGTACATATTTATTTATTTATTTTGGTCATTACCTTGGGGATTATTTCACATTTGTTATCATAGGCTTAATTCAACAAGATACATAGCAGATGCCTAGTGTTAAGCATATGAGAGTCTGCAGTGGCATGCTCGCTATTGGATTTGGGCTGAAATAGCATCTTAATCATAACTAAGTCTGTGCTTTGCAAGAGTCCCTGTGTCTGGTTTTCTCTAAACAGAAATCATTAAGGTCGTACAGAAGTATTTTAAAATAATGCCTCGAGTGTGACTCGAGGTTGCTAATAAAAAAAAAACCTGGATTTTAAGCTGGTGTTTGATCTCCCCGCAGTGGAGAAGCAGCAGCCCGGCTCCTGCACGGACCAGCTCCCACTCTCCTCCCAGCTGGGTGATGGGTGAGTCCTGCATCCATACTGGGGGCTTTCCCCTGGTACCTCCCATCCCTGGGCACCTTCTGGCCATATCCTGCCTCTGTGTTTTTCCCCCTGCCCCATTTCTGTCCGGGACCCCGGGGTGGGAGGCAGGAGGGACGTGCTGGCATTTGTCCTTCCATGGCAGGGGTTTGGGGACAGGGTCTCTTTGGGCAGCCCCTGGCACTGGCCTGGCAGCACAGCCTGAGCTGCAGCTCCTCTGCCAATGGAGACAAAGATCAAGGACCGTGCTCAAATTGAGGGGAAGAAATACTGCAGAAACTTTATTTGCCCTCCCAAAAAATTGAAACCAGGCACTGAAGTCCTTTACTTTCATAGAAACATCCATTAAAAAGTACCATTATTATATCTGACCCTGTTTTACAAAACCTCATAGAGTTTATGTTCATCCATGAAGTAAAATAAGATTAATTTCTTCTGTATGATTTTTTTTTTATCATTCAGGAAGCAGCAGAGAGCGTGTTCATCCATGAAGTAAAAGTAAGATGAATTTCTTCTGTATGATTTTATTTTTTTATCATTCAGGAAGCAGCAGAGAGCCTCCATAAGCTCAGAAGAGAACGATTCAGAGCGCACCAGCCCGGTGATGCTGGACAGTGGGCTCCCGTCCCCCCAGAACAAGCCCCACAGAAGTAGGGACCCTTTCCCTTCCTTCGGGGTGCACTCCAGGGGTGCTGGGATCCCCCCACCCTGAGCTCCACGCTCTCTTGCAGGCTGGCCAGGAATGTCACAGTCCCTGGAGATCTGCGAGGGGCTGGAGGAGTGGTCAGGAAACCAGTACCTCTCCAACTGCTCCGACACCGAAGAGGAGGATGGGAACCAGCTGGTTAGTACGGGGGTGCAATGGTCCCAGAGCTCAGGGGGCTGCTGGTTTTGGTCATGTCACTTTGTTTTGCTTCACTGGATAATCCATGTATCTTGTCCATGTCGCATGGATTTTCCATATCTCAATTCTGGGGCCATAGTTTCTTGAAATAATTTTAATTAAGGTAGCTGACAGGGCTCTGTCATGTTCCCTGTGGTGGTCAGAAATAACAGCTGCATGATATGATCCCTCCAACCTATGGCTCTACGACATGGCTAAATGAGATAATTTTTTTCTTATTATCACAGTCTCCAGGAAAATACAAAGCCCTGGCGGACTGCAAGAGGAGAGGCTCAGAAGACCTGCTGGTGAAAAATGGGGATGAAATTCAGCTTTTGCATGAAGATGGTGAGGGACAGTGGTAGGTATTTCAGGATTACTTTGCCTTATCTCTCGGAGCCTGCGGGGCAGTCCCTGTGCAGCGATGCGCTCGCTGCAGCTTCTGATTAACTTTTAGGCTGTTCCAGAAAGCCAGAGAGTTCCTTCCCTTGCCAAGACTAGAGGCCATAAGCGCTGGCTTTGCCTGGAAAAAACATGTCAGGGCTTCCCTTGCCATGGACCAGCTGTGTTTTACCAACATCCTCACTGCCCTCTTCCCACTCCAGATGATGCTTCAAGTGAGAGCTCTTTGGCCACCCCAGCTCAGCTGCTGGCTTTGTTCCTCTGGGCTTATTAATAGCAATATGAAGTGATTGTGAGACATTTTCCTCCCTCAAATAAGCATTAACTGGTTAATGGCTGTGGACCAGCTCTCTGTTGTATTTAAAGCTGTGGCTCACAAGATAACACTTCACAGCTGGTTCTCTCCCATTGCCTGGGAAATCACCGCACCCAACCTCCTGCCTGGTGAACCATTGGTCTCTTCATCTCAGAGGGCAGAAATCTTGTGGTTTCTGCAGCAGTTTGGCAGAGATTTCTGGCTGGCTGTCCTTTCCAGGTTGATTTCTGACTAGCTTGTCATCAGCCAGCCCGGGGTCTCGGTAGGAGGGGATGTGGGGAGGCTGATGCTGGCAGGAACCTGCATCAGATTTGTGCTGGCACTAACCCCAAAAAGCACAGACACACATTCCCCAGGGAGGATTCCTGGCCCCAGCACCTACAGCCCTTGCATTTCAAGGGAAATTCAGTTTGTTGCTAGCAAAAGCAAGGTGTAAAGCATCTCGGTTTTGCTGAGTGCTCACCACCTCTCCCAGCTGCTTCGGCCGGTGCCAGGCAGAGATTTCTCACACCAAACTTTTCTTGTTAGTGCAGATTTCCCTGCATGGCTGACAGAGAAATGTCATGTATGAGCAGGAGTTATTTCCAGCTGCCTACATCCTGCGTTGAATTTACTTAGAGTACCCTGCCTAAATTAAATCCTGCCAGTCTAGCTTAGGAACAGGATTGAGGAGAGTAATTGTCCTTGGCTCCATCAGTAGTCGGTGGAGGGAAACTGGCACCTCTGGAGATCAATACAGGTCTCAGGCAGAATAACTGCTGCTCTGGAGAGTCCTGTTCCTCTCCGTTGGTGAGAACTGTGCTCCCAGTGTAGGCTTTTTAATTAAGTTCCTAAATGGAGGCAGGAAGAATACTTTAAACGCACACCCAGCTCCTGTTAAAACGCTTCCCTGGTTTGAACAAATTGTTGGTTGCACCAGGTGCTGTGCAAAGGGCTCTGGGGTTGGTGTGTTCCTGTCACTAATACCGTTGTCGTTCAAAGGTTGGTGAAAAACCTAAACAGAAGAAAAGAAGGCTGGATTCCTGTCCACAGTCTGCAGATAGTGGTGGGGGACTGCAGATACCGGAACGCCAAAGTGGCAGGTATTATATAGCAGAAATAGCTCAGAACTCCTATCAGGTCTTTTAAGCCATTTGCGTTACACTTGATGTACTAAACCTGGCTGCATATGCCTCTGCAGGAAAAAAAAACAAAACAAAGACAAAAACCAGAAAGCAGCTATTCCAAAAAGCCTGCAAAAGTAGTAAATTAAGCTTTTTGTTTGTTTGTTTGTTAAGACCTTAAGACATTTCTGTGACTTTAGGCACTAGTAAATTAAAACCAAGCATTTTAGAAACCGTAGATTTCTTTGCAAGAGCACTGGGTAGAAGACTGGGGGAGAAGAGCCGGAGTCTGATCAGGGATTCTGGAGTCTGATCAGGGATTCCTCTGACTGTTTTGCCTCCTTGCTGCTGTAGCTCAAACCCCAAACCCCATGTGGGCAGGAGGTACCCAGGCAAAATCTCCTCCTGCTTCCGAAAGACTATACCCCATTTCTGCATTTCTCTTGCCCTCCTGGCTGCCTGCTTGTTAAGCCGCCGTCGGAATAAAGTTTATAAACAGGTCACCAGGTTTCAGCAGAAGGCGTCTGGTCTCCAAAAATAGCATTTCTCATTTTCTAGCCGCAAGTGTACATAGAAACAGGTAGGGAAGCATAACAGATGACACGAGAAGGAAAATCTCCTCCTGCTTGCAAAAGACTGACGTGGCCTGACCCCCAACAGGCAATACCCCATTTCTGCATTTCTCTTGCCCTCCTGGCTGCCTGCTTGTTAAGCCGCCGTCGGAATAAAGTTTATAAACAGGTCACCAGGTTTCAGCAGAAGGCGTCTGGTCTCCAAAAATAGCATTTCTCATTTTCTAGCCGCAAGTGTACATAGAAACAGGTAGGGAAGCATAACAGATGACACGAGAAGGTGCCTTAAGAGCAGGCTGTCTCCCTGGCTTTGTGTGCAGCATCACCACTCCGTGCGTTGCCTCATCGCCGTGCCATCCGCTGGGGACGGGGACCAGGGTTTGCCATGGGAGCAGCTCAGGGAACCCACCTAGATATAGTCCATTTTAAAAAAAGATACACCAGTTATGACCATATAAAACATAGAGCAAGTAGATTTGTTGTAAAATATTTCCTTTTTGTCAAAATCTTTTGTTTTGCTGAATATGAAAGAGGTGTTCTGAAAGGCTTAGACTGGGACGGGGACCAGGGTTTGCCATGGGAGCAGCTCAGGGAACCCACCTAGATATAGTCCATTTTAAAAAAAGATACACCAGTTATGACCATAAAAAACTTAAAACAAGTAGATTTGTTTTAAAATATTTCCTTTTTGTCAAAATCTTTTGTTTTGCTGAATATGAAAGAGGCGTTCTGAAAGGCTTAGACTTCCAGTCTTGATGGTTTTGCAGTGTTTTTTAGTGAAGTCTTTCCTGTGCAGGAAGGTATGTTTTCATCCCCTCTGTCACAGGGCAGACACATTTCACAGGCTGGGGTTTTTCTGCCTTTCTGTAAGAGGTAGCTTTTGGGGGGCTGGAAGCAGAGCTGAGGTTCCCCTGTCCATGCTCCCACCCTGGGGCACCACGTGTTGGTTTTTGGGGGAGATCTGGTTATCACATCTCACCGGGTCCTGGACCGCAGCCTGTGCAGGAGCTTTCTCCAGCCATAAATGCATCCTGAAAGTAGGGTGTGGGCAAACTTGGATCACGGGTTTGCTTTGTCAGTGGTCGTACCCCCCAAAGCCCAGAGACTCGCAGCTCCAGGCTGGTTTATGGAGTTGGTGAGGGCAAAGTAAGGAGGATTTCACAAGGCAAAACTGCAGAAAGCTCCTCCTGAAAGCCTCACACCACTGCCCCGGTGCTTTGCCAGGCTCTAGTCGCAGCCCCGAGGCTCTGTTTTCCCCTATAACACTAACTCTGCTCTCTCTGGCTGTTGCTGATCATATCCTATATGCAGTCTCTAGGCACGATTCTAATTTTACATGCGCTCCAGGCAATATTGTAGGATGATGTAGGATGTTTCCTTGCTATTTCCTAGAGCTATTCCTAGAGCTTTTCAGGGCTGTGTCCTTATAGCCATGATGTACTTGCACTCAGAAAACTGATTTTTAAACAGCACCTTTGCATTTAGCAATTCCCTTTCCTCTGTGGATGGGCCATTTTATGCTGCAGGTGACTTTCTACCACTGACTGCTCAGGTTGGGCTCTTTTCTGCTTCTTCAGAAGATGGAGCTCTTGCTCCGGTAAAGCAGAGGGAGAATTAGGCAGCCAAGCTTGTAGAGCAAAGTGGAGGCAGGAGGGAGCACCAAAATCCTCATGTATTATTAGCTGCTTGTGTTGAAATGCTGTTTTTCGGCTAAGCAGGGTAAACTTGATGAACATGTGGGGTCTCTGAGAGCTTAGAGTGCACTGGAGTCAATCCAGAGCCAGGGGAGAGGCCACCCTGGCTCTTTTTGGGGGTTAGTGCCACTGTTATTGCTCGTCTCCAGGTCCCCACAATGAATATATCTGCCATCACAGAATTTCATAACCAGAATTCATACAAATCTTGGGTTTGGGTGGTGTTTTTTTTCAGGGCAAAGCCTTTAGCTGAATAGATGAAATGGTTCCCTTACCTGAACGTTTTTTTCTCAGATTTTTATGGTGGGCCCTAACGAGAACCTCCCGCCACAGGGAGGTTTCTAAGCTGTTCCTCTCCCCTCCTGCTAATTATTCCAGTACAAGTTATAATGAAGTTACAGGCAACTTTTTACTGCCCATTTTAAGTTATCAGACATGTATTTGGTCAATGCCCTGCTCCCCTAGCATTGCCAGCTTGGCAAATCCACCGTTGTGTACCCACTTTCTAAGGGAGAGCCCATGTGCAAAGCTGAACTTGCAACACCCAAACCAACCCACAGATGGGTTTTTTTTCTTCCTTTTCTCACATGGCTGCAGAGGTGATTTTCCTTAGAGATGGGTGGTTCCTATTGGCAATGCTGTTGATAAAGCTAGTATTTTTGGTCAGATCTTCTTTTGCAAAGGTGGCGGTGACGGAAACCTTATTCAGCTTTTTATAAATCTTGGCTTGGAGATAAGCCAGGAGGCTTTTTGGGAGGAAGATGGCTGGTTGGAGGTCAGTTTGAAAACCAGTTTTCCCTCTGGTGTGCTTCTAGCTATAATTTCTGAGATTAGCCCTTTCTGCTTTCTTCTGAATAGATTTATTCTGTCTCCTGTGCAGATACCTGGTGGATTTTTTTGGTGTGTGCTGTAGAAATAGTTTCGTATCGCAGGTGATAACACACAGATCTCGATGGAAAAAGTTTGGAGAGAACTCCGCTTAGAAAAAGCAATATCCAGAAAATAACCACTGCTTTTTTTTGCCTCAGTGACAGAGGGCTCATGTCCAGCCTCCCCTCTCATCGAGGCTGAGCTTTGTCTGAGCTCTTCCTTTCTCTCGGCAGCGATAAACAGATACAAATGAGAGGAAGCCTGTTGTTCACTCCTGAATTTTCACAAAATGGGGCCAAGGGATTTTCAGCTTTTTTTTTTTTTTTTTTTTTTTCACCTGACCTTTAAATTTGGGCAGAGAGAAGGGCACGTTTCTGGTTTCCACTTGCTGCATGGAGGTTGTGCGAGACTGGTTTCTCTCAGAGAGAGGATGAAATAGGGCAGCCGGAATGAAGAAGGGATTCAGACAGAAAATGGAAGCAGTGATAAATGCCTTTAATTATTAGCTATGTAAAAAAGAACTTTCAAGTTCTTTTAAACAGCAAAATAAAGTTGCAGATGGCGTGTGGCTTAAGCCCAAAGGCGAGGAGCACTCGGAGCAGGGCTGGAAGGATGCTCTGTGCTGGGCCAGGCACCCGCATCCGCGTGGTTTGAGGAGGACACAGGCTCCTGTTCCACACACCAGACCCTCTCCCAGTTTGTTTTAACTTGCCAAATGATCTCTTTCAAGCCTTATGGGGATCCCCTGTGTGTGCTCTTCATGTGATAAAGCCCAGCAAAGCTTTCTCCCTCTGGTTGTGCCCCAAGGACCCAGCTCACGCGTCCCCTGCTCCTGCTGGCCAGGGCGGTGGGGATGGTCCTCCCCATTACGGGTGGGCTTGAGGCAACCTGTTGCGTGGCTCCCTGGGCCACCTGGCTTGAATTTGCCCCATTAGAGTGTCGCACGTGCCTGAGCTCTTGCAGGCTGGCCTGAGCATGTTGGCTGAAACGTGCAGGTTTTGCCCCAGTTCTGTTCAAAGCGCCGCTGGTGGCTTGGCAGATGCAGCCCAGCTCTTTGCACTATTACTCACGCACTTTAGGGATGGCAGCCGCAGGCTTCCGTAGTTATACAGGGTCCCTTCCAGGTGATGTTGATTATTTTATTTTTGGGGGGCCTTTGAAATGTAAAGCAGGGTCTCCTTGTGCGACCTGCGCCGCCAGCCAGCTTCACACAACAGCTAGTTTTTAACCCTGTAGAAAACCTTTTTGAGCCTGACGAACTAAGGAGCCTAGAGAAGGTATCAGCTGGCCAGGCTGGTAAAATCAAGCGATGAAACGATGGAAAGGAGTCAAACCCTGTGGTCCTGCCTTAGACAAGGCTCTCGCTAAAGCCAGTGGGAGTTGAGCTTGTAGGGAGAACTGCAGGAGTGCACTGATTTATTTTTCCGTTATACAACTGCTACGTGATTACAGGGAACAATGTATTTCTTGGAATAAGATGCTTTAATATTAACACCATTCTTCATTACTTTATAGATGCTGCCCTGTGTAACACGAGAAAGTTTAGTTCCCCTTGAATTAAGGGTGAACTAGTAGCATCCTATTTTCGATGCTCTTTGGAAGCTTTCGACTCAGTGTTACAGAGAACCAGCACAGTAGTTGGAGTTGTCCTGTACCATCCATCACATTCCCAGACCTCCACAGCTTCATCTGCACTCAACGGGACCGGGGTCCTAAGCAGCTTCTCATAGTCATAAAGGAAGCCATTCTCTGCTCTTTCATTTTTTTTACTCTCCTGTGGAAAGTACAGTATTTTATTCATTTTACCTGCTGTTTTTTCCATGACATCCATCACGTTTCATCAGAGAAGTACACTACAGTTTCCTGACACTTTGTTTAGATGCTTGAAGTTTCCTCTACAGGTTGAAGGCTACTTATTAGCTGACAACTGTTGAAGTCGATTGCAAATAAAAGAGTTGAGTTTTGGTAAACCAAAAAAAAAAACAAAAAAACCACCAAAAACCAACCAACCAACACCAAACCACAAAGAAGCTGTATGTCCTGCTTGATTGATTTTATGGATGGATTTTTCTTAGATATCTACCTGAGCTATGTGAATGTAATGTTCTGTACGAGCATCATCTGGCTGACTCACGTGTGAAGATGCAATAACGCTAAAGATCCTCTTTTTTTTTTGCACTTAGGGCCTGATTCCAGCCCATTGCAGTCAGTCCCATTGATTTCAGTGAGGTTTGGGTCAGGTCACACTGACAACTCAGGGTTGTCACCAATCACTTAGGGTCCCAAAGTGTCCCAAGGCTGAAACCTGTATCTAGCAAGTGTTGAAGTTTACATTAAATGTATGTACTTTTGGAACACGTGCCATAAATCCAAGTTAAATGTCCATGTTTGCACTAAGGATGTTCTTGTGATAAGACTCTACTTTTCAGCATCTTTAACAATAATGTATCTATGGAATTTTTGAGACAGAAGAAAAAAAAAAAAAGAAAAAGGAGATCGAACGCTCATAATTTAATTTTGTGTTTCTTTGTCTAATGCTCATAATTTAATTTTGTGTTTCTTTGTCTAGTTTGGCTTTTGTAGAATGTAGGTACAGGTGGTTTGCAAAAAAACCACCAAAAACCAACCAACCAACACCAAACCACAAAGAAGCTGTATGTCCTGCTTGATTGATTTTATGGATGGATTTTTCTTAGATATCTACCTGAGCTATGTGAATGTAATGTTCTGTACGAGCATCATCTGGCTGACTCACGTGTGAAGATGCAATAACGCTAAAGATCCTCTTTTTTTTTTGCACTTAGGGCCTGATTCCAGCCCATTGCAGTCAGTCCCATTGATTTCAGTGAGGTTTGGGTCAGGTCACACTGACAACTCAGGGTTGTCACCAATCACTTAGGGTCCCAAAGTGTCCCAAGGCTGAAACCTGTATCTAGCAAGTGTTGAAGTTTACATTAAATGTATGTACTTTTGGAACACGTGCCATAAATCCAAGTTAAATGTCCATGTTTGCACTAAGGATGTTCTTGTGATAAGACTCTACTTTTCAGCATCTTTAACAATAATGTATCTATGGAATTTTTGAGACAGAAGAAAAAAAAAAAAAGAAAAAGGAGATCGAACGCTCATAATTTAATTTTGTGTTTCTTTGTCTAGTTTGGCTTTTGTAGAATGTAGGTACAGGTGGTTTGACTTTTAAGCAGATGTGTGCAAAGAGCATCCGGCTGCGTTGAGAGCAGGGTTGATCGTGTGCATGCGGTAGTGAACTCGCTCTGTCCCGTCAAAACGAGACGTTTTATACCGTGGACTGAAGGGGGACCTTTATGATCTTTCATTTGTGAACCATGGATTCTTAGACACAGTCCCAAATTGTCATGTTAAAACATACTGGAGGGGTTTTTTTTTTAAACTATTTGTGACCATTTTTGTACGGAGGAATCATCGAACTAGGTGATGGCTGTGGTTGCCTGGGGGGTTCCCCACCACCACCCTGGTGGGCGTTTCTCCAGTTTGGGTGGCCAGTATTGCAGAAAATATCCCCCATACACCCTCAAAACGGTGACTGGCTGAGTCTGAACTGGGCAATGCTGCGAGGCCTAGAAAGATCCCAGTGGTCTTCAGCCACTGGCAACCACAGCAGAGAGGTTTTAACTCATTGAAGGTTATTTCCATCTACTTTAAAACTGGTCACAAGGCACTTGCTGGGTGGAAAAGTAGGATTCTCTTAAGTTCCCGTCGGGGCTGTTTATAGTGGTAACAATTCTTGTGGTAAGAGTACACATTTTGAGGTGCAACTGTAAATATTTGTCTCCAACATAGCACACATTGCATATTCAATGGTTTTAATCTTTTCTGTCTTCCATGGTTTTAAATCTAAGCTTTTATTAATTTATGGGGTTGATAAGTTCTGCAAATCTGAATGTACAGTCTGAGATTTTTAACATTTGAAACTTTGCACACGACATGGTCTGTTACCTTAAGTATGCTGTTGAACTAGGCTCTTCATGTATATGTATAAATCACAGCAGAGAATTTTCTCTGACTGCAAGTTTAAATGAACTATATTGTATATGTACCTGTAAAAAAAATGTGTTAAATCTATATTTAAAGATTAAAAACTTGTTAAATAAATTCATACGAGAACGTGCGATTCTGTTCAAACGCACCTCTGCTATAATTTTAGAGGAAAAAACCCCACAATTCATACATGTGTTGGTTTTATTTAATTTCTGTGGAATGAATATAGCCTTCTTACACACGTTTTGATTTTAAAGTAGGTGGTGGCAGATGATCTGATTAGCTTTTAGCAATTAGCTGAGTTGCCTGGAGTGTGATAAAGCCTCTGCCCACCCCGGGGTGCAGTTCCTGAGGGACGTGCTGTTCCCCTGTGCACCCCTGGAGTTTGCCATGGAGGGAGAGACGGGATGAGCTGGCACCAGTCAGAGGGAAACCTCCCTCCCTCTGGGATTATTCCCTTCCCCTGGGATTAGTCCCTTCCCCTGGGATTATTTCCTTCCCTTGGAGTTGGGAACCGGATTGAGGCCCCTGGGGACAGCCCCACACAGACCTCTCTGCCCAGCGTAGCCTTTCCCCGGGTGATAAGTGCAAT